TCACTGGAGTGTGACCCATATTTCCTAGTGGAAGTGATTGTGGTAGAACTGACGCCTTTGTAGTAGAGTAGTTCATCTCTTATGTTGAGCTGTTCACGTAAACGCTGTATGTGTGGTTCTGACATGGTTTCTTCAGTGACTGGATTTTCTTTTTGATATCGGTACAAAAAGTGTATTTTATACAAAAGACTTAATAAAAGGTATTGTGGGAATTTAAGTAAAGGAGTCATGATAATATCAGGGTCATTCTGCATGACGTGACACTAGAGGAGACTATAAAGTTTGTGTGTTTGTTGTTTGACGCCACCCTCAGCAATATTCCAGCTACAATATAGCAGCCTAATCTGAACCAGACAATCCAGTGATTAACATCATGAGCATCAATCCATGATGTTGAGATATGACATGCAATTAACCAATTCACTCAACCTGACCACCTGAGCCACTTAATTGCCTTGACTGACAAGAATAGGTTGCTAGGGAACCATATTCTATCCCAGAACCCCACATTGGGAGAGGGATGGGCACAGAGACTTAGCAGTGGCAAGTTACTCTTGCAATAGTGTTGTGCTGGAAAGTAAATACAGTATTGTAGGGCTGGGATGGGATGGGTCGGGGTGGTACCTGAGTATGACCCGGGTACCCACAGTACTACCCGGACCCTCGGTTAGTTATGTGATATATTGTTTAATGATAAAAACTGACTATAGCTCACAATTTCGCATTTTTTCCTGACCATGCACACATTCCATAGATAAAGATAAAGCTTCAGTCAACTTCTTTGTACGCATGATCTGATCATTTTATACATGTATCGAAATAGTTTTTGCCAGGGATGCAGTAAAACAATTCCCAATCAGACATTTTGTTCCCAATTCTTGAGACCTGCAGTGGGTAACCGGGTAGTACATTTGGACTAGTCTCAGCCTTACAGTGTTGCCATGGTATTGGAATAGTTTCATAAGTATCTAAACCATCCTCTCACATGGGGGGTTGGTGGGCCAGGGTAGCCTAGTAGAGAAAGCGTTGTAGATTCCCCTCATGGACACAATGTGTGAAGCCCATTTCTGGTGTCCACCGCCACGATATTGCTGGAATATTGCTAAAAGCTGCATAAAACCATACTCACTCACTCCTAACACAGATTTCCCAGCATTATTCTCTACAGGGTAGACACAATTTTATGGATAACAACTTTAATGCTGTAAAAAGCGACGTTGCGGTATAGATCATTAATACTCCACTTAATCTTCCACCTACAATATATATTCTGTACAATGTGCCTCATTCAGTCTTGCTTGACAACGTACAAAGTTGCTTTTTACAGTATTAAAGAAGTTGTTATCCATAAAATTGTGTCTACCTTGTCATCCGTCAACTTCTAAGTAATGCCTATCAAACAATTTATTCTCTACAGGATGACAAAACTAACACTGTTTTTTTGTCTCAGATTGTGTGTTACTCTTCTAAAAACAGAATGACAGAATATATGTGTATAATTTTGTGTTGATACATCAAGATATCTACCATGCAGGGTACAAATACCACTGAAATTCTAACAAAACGAACTTCATAAAAGTATCCTAATTTTGAACTAAATATTTTTTCCCCAATTTGCCTGCCAAGAACACTTGATTCTAAGTTTGAATCCTTGATAACTTCCTGCATTCACTACCAATCAATATTTTTAGCAATCAGGAAGGAGTTACTACAGAACTCTAATGCCCTGGACTTGTTCCATGATGTGGCCTCAGCGCTTAGGATTGTCGTGAGTCTATGTTGGAGTATCAGAGTTACGATTGTCTAGGTGCTAAGATCACTTTGTGGAACAGGGACCTAGTATAGACTCTTCACAGAGATCTGAGTTAATTTTCTACGACGCATAAATTTATCAACTTTTGTATTATAAAAAAATGTGGATTTGATGTGTTGAAGACAGCTCTTCATCAGGTTCCTACTGTTTGTTGAGATCCATAGCCTGTTAATCTGATGTTTTATGCATCATTTAGTCTCCCACAAAGTTCAGCATCTTTATTGCTTCCAGTTTGTGCCGAGTTCTTCCTTATTCCACTTGGTTGTAATAATGTTGATCAGTGTGTGATATTTGGTTGCTGGAGTTGTCTCCCTTGTGTTACTATCTCACATCAGTGAATGCAGTGTTCAGTTACATGAGTTGGTGAACTATTTTATGTTAGGATTTAGATGATTGCATTCAAAGAAATATATATGCAAAATAAATTCAGTTAATATGTGTGTATATATCTCAAAACCTATTTACCACCTATTTTCTGTTGACAAAACAATCATAGTGCTAAGAACTATAATCCTATACTCTAACAGTGACTTAAGACCGTTATAGTGCTAAGACATAGTCTACAATATGAAAGCAGTGACTTATGACCTAGAATACAACACTTCAGCAGTGACTTATGACCTAGAATACAATACGATAGCAGTGACTTACGACCTAGAATACAATACTATAGTAGTGACTTATGACCTAGAATACAATACGATAGCAGTGACTTATGACCTAGAATACAATACTATAGCAGTGACTTATGACCTAGAATACAATATTATAGCAGTGACTTATAACCTAGAATACAATACTATAGCAGTGACTTATGACCTAGAATACAATACTACAGCAGTGACTTAGGACCTAGAATACAATATTATAGCAGTGACTTAGGACCTAGAATACAATACTACAGCAGTGACTTATGACCTAGAATACAATACTACAGCAGTGACTTATGACCTAGAGAACAATACTACAGCAGTGACTTATGACCTAGAATACAATATTATAGCAGTGACTTATGACCTTGAATACAATATTATGGCAGTGACTTATGACCTTGAATACAATATTATGGCAGTGACTTATGACTCTATAATGCTTTACTATAACAGTGACTTATGACCATTATAATGCTATACTATAACAGTGACTTATGACCGTTATAATGCTTTACTATAACAGTGACTTATGACCGTTATTATGCTATACTATAACAGTGACTTATGACCTAGAATACAATACTATAACAGTGACTTTTGACCGTTATAATGCTATACTATAACAGTGACCTATGACCATTATAATGCTATACTATAACAGTGACTTATGACCGTTACAGTGTTATACTATAACAGTAACTATATAGACTGTTATAGTGCTAGGACCTATAATCCTATGACTATAGTGCTAAGACCTATAATCCTATGACTATAGTGCTAAGACCTATAATCCTATGACTGTTATAGTGCTAAGACCTATAATCCTATGACTATAGTGCTAAGACCTATAATCCTATGACTGTTATAGTGCTAAGACCTATAATCCTATGACTATAGTGCTAAGACCTATAATCCTGTGAATGTATAGTGTTAAGACCTATAATCCTATGACTGTATAGTGCTAAGACCTATAATCCTATGACTATAGTGCTAAGACCTATAATCCTGTGAATGTATAGTGTTTAGACCTATAATCCTATGACTGTATAGTGCTAAGACCTATAATCCTATGACTATAGTGCTAGGACCTATAATCCTATGACTGTATTGTGTTAAATCCTATAATCCTATGACTATAGTGCTAAGACCTATAATCCTATGACTGTTATAGTGCTAAGACCTATAATGCTATGACCGTTAGACTGCTAAGACCTATAATCCTTATAATGACTGTTATAGTGCTAAGACCTATAATCCTATGACTATAGTGCTAAGACCTATAATCCTATGACTGTTAGAGTGCTAAGACCTATAATCCTATGACTGTTAGACTGCTAAGACCTATAATCCTATGACCGTTAGGCTGCTAAGACCTATAATCCTTATAATTACTGTTATAGTGCTAAGATCATTTTGTCGTACAGATACCAGGTAACAAGCAGTTAAAATGTTTTGGGAAAATATTTGGATACATAAGTGTTATGGCTGACTTCAAAAAGTTCACAATGTGATGAATAAGCATATATGCAAGGGAACTTTTTTCTCTCCAGTATATTGTGTATTTCGAAGCAATCTATGTTCATTTAGCTTATTAAGTATGACCTATTTGATCAGAACCTGTACAACCTGTATTGAGTACAAAAAGCCAAGATGGCGATGTTTTGTTGTGAGACTCAGGCACGAATGAATAGAGTCACTGAACACTGCTTCACCCCAGGGGAACATTACTTAGTATTGTACAGTGAAACCTCCTTAATCTGGACACTGTTATTCTGGAAGGACCTTGTGAAACATATGTGTAATTGGCTGGTCACAAGGGATCTCAAAAGTTTGATGTTGGGTGAAAATCTTAATTCTTTAAGTGTATTTGTGGGTGGTTAATGGTCTTGCAGATTTTCCATTTAACAAAATCTAACTTTCCTGATTTCTCAATGTTTTGTGTAGTAACTCAGGGATGTACAGTAAACTACGGTTGTAACGAACACGCTTATAACGAACTGACGGATATAACGAACCTACTTTTTTGGTCCCGACTATTTGCTGTAGCTGTATATATGCTTATAACATACTACGGTTATAACGAACTAAAATTAGTAGTCCCCTTGAGTTTGTTATAACCGTACTTTACTGTATCTAGACCTGTTCAGAGGCCGATATTCAGCCCCAAGTCTGCAGCACATGATAATAAAAAAATCCAAATTCCTCAAAATTTGAAAATATGTACTTTGAAATTATTCATTTTTGAAAAATTTCATGGTTTTGTCCCACTGGGGTATGTCTTGAAACTTAAGGAAGTAGGTTTTTTATCCGACATCAAACTTTAGAACTGGTCCCTAGGTTCTCATGATTTGTTCATAATTCTGGAAGTGTGGTGATCTGGAGGATGTTGGACTTGCCCGGAAACAGCATCGTCTGGATTAACAGGGTTTCACTGTAGTTTAATTTTGTTTTGTTTGATATTTAGTTCATTTTTGTTTGATCAATTATTATTATTTGATTATTTTTTGTTTGTTTTTCTGCACATGTGTATTTAGGTCGCAAATGTGGCACAAAACGGTGTCGAGCAGGACAGCAGTGTTCCACACAGCCTGACGGACAGAAAACTTGCATTTGCCGCAAAGTTTGTAGTCAGAAAAAATTTCTTATGTGCGGAAGTGATGGCCGCACTTACTACAACAAGTGTGAACTGCACAGAATCGCCTGTGTTGAAGGACGCAAACTTAAAATTAAGCACAAAGGAGCTTGTCCAAGTAGGAACCATTTTCACGGTTTTAATTCTGTCAAATTTCTATGTGAAAACAAGTAAAGTAAAGATGACTTGCTTCACACATTCATCTATCTGGCAAAGTATCAGACAATTTTCTTGAGGTGGCAAGTTTTGTTAGTGTTGCATAATTCATCTCACTGTGTGCTGAGTGTGTAATCTGATCATGGCTTAATGAATGTTGATGAGTTTTCCTTGTGGCAGCAGGCAGTGAGTGCTGATATTTTAAACCACTGCTGTTCATGTGGAAAAGTTAAAAATTGATGGACTGAAACATTAAAAGTTTGATTTTACAATCCACAGTATGACGTCACACAATCATGTTTTGTCATCAAACAATCCATGTATGACATCAGACAATGAACTGTATGACATCAGACAATCCACAGTATGACATCACACAATCATGTTTTGACATCAAACAATCCATGTATGACATCAGACAATGAACAGTATGACATCAGACAATCAGTGTTCGTGGTAGGTTTTTGTACAGTGCGTGCAGAAATGAAATAATAAATTTTCAATTCAAATATTTCGCGTGTGAAGCTTTTATTTCAATAAAATCAGTACTAGTACAGCTAATAATTATGACCAAGCTTTAACTTACGGTCCAGTTTTGATATGATGAACATTCTTTCATTGATAAAATAAATATGACTGTTGTTAGCACATGCCCATGTGTGGAAGTTTTCTTCTGTCGCTCTGTTTATGATCATTCATATTACCGACTAGTACTTGTAAGCTGGGCTCTGATTGGATGAAACGAACGACTTCCGGGGAATTCCATCGATAGTAACGAATAATGTCCTGTGGCTGAGATTAGTTATTCTGTTGCCCTAAGACCATATATGGAAATATAAAGGACACGATTCAAAGCCCCATCTGGCCACATTCTATTTTTAGCAATGGGAATTTCCAGGTTTTGATTTATTTTCGTCTGAACATCGTAAGCAGGCTATCAGCTTTGAATAGTTTTAGATTTTATGGTATTAATACAAAATTAAGTATATCACAATCTGTGCGTGCAAAACACGCATGCAACATATTTGTGCTTGTTTATATGATTTTAATGCGTTAAAAATGCAGGTTGCTGCGTTAACGCGAACACTGGACAATCCACAGTATGACATCACACAATCATGTTTTTACATCAGACAATCCATGTATGACATCAGAGTATCCATGTATGACATCAGACAATCCATGTATGACATCAGACAATCCATGTATGACATCAGACAATCCATGTATGACATCAGACCATCCATGTATGACATCACACATTCATGTTTTATAATCAGACAATCCATGTATGACATCAGACAATCCATGTATGACATCAGACAATCCATGTATGACATCAGACACTCCATGTATGACATCACACATTCATGTTTTTATAATAAGACAATCCATGTTTGACATCAGACAATCCTTGTATGACATCAGACCATCCATGTATGACATCACACATTCATGTTTTATAATCAGACAATCCATGTATGACATCAGACAATCCATGTATGACATCACACATTCATGTTTTATAATCAGACAATCCATGTATGACATCACACATTCATGTTTTATACTCAGACAATCCATGTATGACATCAGACAATCCATGTATGACATCACACATTCATGTTTTATAATCAGACAATCCATGTATGACATCACACATTCATGTTTTATAATCAGACAATCCATGTATGACTACAGACACTCCATGTATGACATCAGACCATCCATGTATGACATCAGACAATCCATGTATGACATCACACATTCATGTTTTATAATCAGACAATCCATGTATGACATCACACATTCATGTTTTATAATCAGACAATCCATGTATGACATCACACATTCATGTTTTATAATCAGACCATCTATGTATGACATCAGACTACCATGTATGGCATCACACATTCATTTTTTATCATCAGACAATCCATGTATGACATCACACATTCATGTTTTATAATCAGACAATCCATGTATGACATCACACATTCATGTTTTATAATCAGACAATCCATGTATGACATGACACATTCATGTATGACATCAGACACTATGATACCTTGTAGGACATCTGCCAAACCATAATTCTGTCAAATTTAAATAACACAGTTATTCTTTATCCTATTGAACACATGGAACTTGATAGGATAAAGAATAGCTCACAGAATTTAAACATTTAACATTTAAATTTAAAGAGGCGACTATGCTTGTTGTAAGAGGCGACTAAACAGAATCGGGTAGTCAGGCTTGCTGACTTGGTTGATGCATGTCATCATATCCCAATCGATGCTCATGATGTCAATCACTGGATTGTCTAGTCCCGACCCGAATAACAGACTGCCGTTGTGTAGTTGGAATATGTTTAGTCATATGGAGTCATTTTAAGAAATTGTGTCTTCTTTGACTTCTATTAGCAGAATATTTATAAGGTATGCTGCGTTTGAAAAGTAAATTTGAATATTATTTGTATTATGATCAATGTAAACATTCTATGTGTAGGGAAAGCATTCTGTCTGTCTAGACTATGATACCAGAGACATTTACACCAGCTCTTCTCACATTTGTATGACTGGAGTTATCTCCCCTCTCCCAGGTAATAACGACGTTCCTGTGAACGATGTTGAGAAGAAGTCCGGGAAACAGAATCTCCCCCTGGTGTGCTACCAGGTGGAGAGAGATGAACTGCGGCAGCTGCTCGTGGACTGGATCAAGCGAAGAGTGGTGACCGAAGGTAAGCTAGTCATACTGTCGGAAATACAGGAAAAATGCTTCACCTTCACATCAACTTCACACAATAAATATGGCTCGGAGGGATGTAAAATCAATATAACTAAAAAACCTACCAATTCAAGTTTATTAGGGCACATCTTCCTGAGGCAAGGGCTGACTATAAAGTGACTATAAAGTCCAGTTTCCACCTTTGCCAAACTAGGGTGGAGTTTCAGTATCGATCGTAGCGCCACCAATTGCTATTACAAGTTGTGTTCCTCCTAAGTTCCTCCTATTGACCAATCAGATTTCGTCTCTCATATCACTTGCATTTTCTTCAAACAAGATGGTGGTGCCAAGTCAAGACTATCTGATCGATAATGAAGATCTGTATTGTAATAAAACAGGTCTTACCCCGCAAAGTGCATCAAATCACTTGAGCACCCTGATTAAAAACATGAAGAGATTTGCAAAATATCTGTTGACGCCCAGTTGATGGTACACATGCTTTGCAAATCCTGCATTTGATCGATATCTGCAAGTTGAAATCCTGGTTGTTTACGAACCAAATGTCTACTTCGTTACGTGATTTTGATTGGACTATGCAATGACTCGTTAGTCCTGCCAGAATTCCAGCCAAGTGCAGCAAGGGTGGAAACTGGACTTCGATACTCAGTTAACTCCCTTGACTCGGGAAGATGGGGGAACCGTAGCTGTAACAAACATGCAGGAAAAAGGGTTTAGTGTGTCTTTGACTGAGAATGCCAGAAGCTATTGGTACCGGCAGAAATATAGTTGAAATAGTTATGAGAACAACATGATCTGGCATATCATTATGCGTGGTGAAATAACAGCGGTAGTACAAAGTCACAATCTGTGCAGTCTTTCTGTGTGAGGTGTTTCCCACTGGCCCCATGTGTCGTTGCTTAAAGCTGCTTTCCAACATCTTCCCCCCCCCTCGGTACGGGTCTGATGTCGGCCATTTGTACCCAGTTGATTTCAAAGTGGCCAGTCGACAGCTATCGGTTGGTACTGTTTCATTACAATATAGAATTGGTACGTGTCATGTATTGGAACTGATAGAATAATCACCCTAGACTAGGTAGTTATGAAGTTTTTGTGCCTGATTTCCGATTTTCCTTTAGAAACAACTAAACAAGGCGAGCAGTGCTGTATGGAATGTCTGGCCTTGGGTAAAGATAAAATAGAATAGTGACACTTGATATTAATTGATCTAGATCTAATATTTAAGCAAGGACAAAAGGGTCAGTGGTGCGTCCAGGATCTATTTATAGCATCAACGTCCTGCACTGAATACAAAGATTTCTTGTGATAGGCTCAAAGAAATATAGTCTCGGATTGTTGTAGAAAATGGTTTGATAGAGTATTGAACATGGGTTCAAATGACAGCACACTCTTACTTCAGTTAAACACACACCTGTAAATGATACTCATTTTAGCGCAACAGTTTGTGTTTAATGTATTTTATTCAGCAACGAGTGTTTTGAAATCAGGACTTGAGTAAAGTTGGCCATTATCACTGCTTCACGGGATTGTTTACGTTTCATTCGTCCATTACAGTGAATACACATGGGGCTAGGCCATATTGGGGTGATGCATGTCTATTTTTAGCAAATGAAATGAGGCCATTAGCTCAAGGAGTGAGTGAGTATGGTTTTACGCCGCTTTTAGCAATATTCCAGCAATATCACGGCAGGGGACACCAGAAATGGGCTTCATGCATTGTACCCATGTCGGGAATCAATCCCGGGTCTTCAGCATGATGAGCTAATACTTTAATCACTAGACTACCTGACCGCCCCTAGTTCAAGGAAGGTGAAATAATCCCAACTCTGTGTATGAACTTTGCCAGAAGTAACGTTCCGCCCCTAGCTCAAGGAAGGTGAAATATTCCCAACTCTGTGTATGAACTTTGCCAGAAGTAACGTTCCGCCCCAAGTTCAAGGAAGGTGAAATAATCCCAACACTGTATGAACTTTGCCAGAAGTAACGTTCCGCCCCTAGCTCAAGGAAGGTGAAATATTCCCAACTCTGTGTATGAACTTTGCCAGAAGTAACGTTCCGCCCCAAGTTCAAGGAAGGTGAAATAATCCCAACACTGTATGAACTTTGCCAGAAGTAACGTTCCGCCCCTAGCTCAAGGAAGGTGAAATATTCCCAAGTCTGTGTATGAACTTTGCCAGAAGTAACGTTCCGCCCCAAGTTCAAGGAAGGTGAAATAATCCCAACTCTGTGTATGAACTTTGCCAGAAGTAACATTCCGCCCCTAGCTCAAGGAAGGTGAAATATTCCCAAGTCTGTGTATGAACTTTGCCAGAAGTAACGTTCCGCCCCAAGTTCAAGGAAGGTGAAATAATCCCAACACTGTATATACTTTGCCAGAAGTAACGTTCCGCCCCTAGCTCAAGGAAGGTGAAATATTCCCAACTCTGTGTATGAACTTTGCCAGAAGTAACATTCCGCCCCAAGTTCAAGGAAGGTGAAATAATCCCAACTCTGTGTATGAATTTTGCCAGAAGTAACATTCCGCCCCTAGCTCAAGGAAGGTGAAATATTCCCAACTCTGTGTATGAACTTTGCCAGAAGTAACGTTCCGCCCCAAGTTCAAGGAAGGTGAAATAATCCCAACTCTGTGTATGAACTTTGCCAGAAGTAACATTCCGCCCCTAGCTCAAGGAAGGTGAAATAATCCCAACTCTGTGTATGAACTTTGCCAGAAGTAACGTTCCGCCCCTAGCTCAAGGAAGGTGAAATATTCCCAACTCTGTGTATGAACTTTGCCAGAAGTAACGTTCCGCCCCTAGCTCAAGGAAGGTGAAAAAATCCCAACTCTGTGTATGTACTTTGCCAGAAGTAACGTTCCGCCCCAAGTTCAAGGAAGGTGAAATAATCCCAACACTGTATAAACTTTGCCAGAAGTAAAGTTCCGCCACAAGTTCAAGGAAGGTGAAATAATCCCAACTCAGTGTATGAACTTTGCCAGAAGTAACATTCCGTCCCTAGTTCAAGGAAGGTGAAATAATCCCAACACTGTGTATAAACTTTGCCAGAAGTAACATTCCGCCCCTAGTTCAAGGAAGGTGAAATAATCCCAACACTGTATAAACTTTGCCAGAAGTAACGTTCCGCCCCAAGTTCAAGGAAGGTGAAATAATCCCAACTCTGTGTATGAACTTTGCCAGAAGTAACGTTCCGCCCCTAGCCCAAGGAAGGTGAAATATTCCCAACTCTGTGTATGAACTTTGCCAGAAGTAACATTCCGCCCCAAGTTCAAGGAAGGTGAAATAATCCCAACTCTGTGTATGAACTTTGCCAGAAGTAACATTCCGCCCCTAGCTCAAGAAAGGTGAAATAATCCCAACACTGTATGAACTTTCCCAGAAGTAACGTTGCATGACTTTGAAACAGTGTGTGGAGCACACACTCACAAGTCAGTGGCACCCACCACACGTTTCCGTTTGTGTGATGTAAGCTGAGCATTCATTATCACCTGTTTTGAACAACATCTTTCCTTCATCAATTTTCCTTTTATGGAACAGAACTCTCCTAAACCGTTGAATATTTCTTTGAAAAGGTCTGGAACACTGGAGTTTCTATAGGTCAAACACACATACAATGCTTTTGTTCAATGCTGTTGTGTCCATGGTTGCAGGTAGAACATACAAGGCCACGGTGAACCAGATGTTCCTAGAGTGTGACCAGGACAAGAACAGCGTTCTGGATGCTGATGAGATGCTCCAGTGTATGGAGAAGGAGGGGACAGACGTCAAGGACACTGACGCACACATTCTCAGGTACAAAGAAACTGCTAAGACTTAGTATGTCCATATGCCATTTGTAATATTCCTGCAATATCAGAGTGGGGGACACCTGTAAAAGGCTTCATATATTGGACCCATGCCTTTGACTAGACCGACGAGTGAATGCTTTAACCACTGCACCGCTACTAAGAGGTTATTTATGTCTTAAAACTCTTCCATAGTTGCTGTTTCTTTTCACAGTTTTAATAACAGCTACATTTAGTTAATCAACTGTTGCCCCGAGGAACCCACTTTCTTGATGAGTGAGTTGCGTTTTTCCAGCAATATTTGTACATTTTACCCATATCAGGACTAGAACCCAGGGCGTCAGTGTGATGAGCAAACACTTGAACCACTGGGCCACCCTCCATCCTTCTTTGTGAAGAATTGTCTCCCTTTCCCACGAAGTTCTGTTTAGAACAGGTCTTCAGCAACCCATGCTTATTGTAAGAGGCAACTAATGGGATCTTGTGGTCAGACTCAGTGACTTGGTCGATGCATGTCATCATGTCCCAGTGGCTTGGATTGTTGTTCAGTCACTGGATAGTCAGGTCTAGATTTGATTGTTTACAGGCCACTGTCATATTGCTGGAAATAGGTGAGTGTGAATGGCGACAAACAAAACATTTATGTGAAAATAATCTTTTTTCAGAGGTCTATGTATTGATGCCCTGATCAGCACTGCATCCGTCAAACACAACTGGGTCCTGACTAAACCAGAGCTGCAGCACCTGCTAGAGCCAAACTTTGTAGCCCCCTCAAAAGGTGAACACTAGGGGTCTCTGTGTGATGGCACTCTGTGTGATGGCACTCTGTGTGATGGCACTCTGTGTGGTGGCACTCTGTGTGATGGCACTCTGTGTGATGGCACTGTGTGGTGGCACTCTGTGTGATGGCACTCTGTGTGATGGCACACTGTGTGGTGGCACTCTGTGTGGTGGCGCTCTGTGTGGTGGCGCTCTGTGTGATGCACTGTGTATATAATGGCACTCTTTATGATGGCACTCTGTGTGGTTTGCACTCTGGGTTATGGCACTCTGTGTTATGGCACTCTGTGATATGGCACTGTGTGAAGGCACTCTGTGTGAAGGCACTCTGTGTTATGGCACTCTGTGATATGGCACTGTGTGTTATGGCATTCTGTGTGAAGGCACTCTGTGTGATGGCACTGTGTATATAATGGCACTCTTTATGATGGCATTCTGTGTGGTTGCACTCTGGGTTATGGCACTCTGTGTTGTGGCACTCTGTGTGATGGCACTCTGTGTGAAGGCACTCTGTGTGGTGGCACTCTGTGTGGTGGCACTCTGTGTGAAGGCACTCTGTGTTATGGTACTCTGTGATATGGCACTGTGTGGTGGCACTCTGTGTGAAGGCACTCTGTGTTATGGCACTCTCTGTGAAGGCACTCTGTGTGATGGCACTCTGTGTGATGGCACTCTGTGTGATGGCTCTCTGTGATGGCGCTCTGTGTGATGGCGCTCTGTGTGATGGCACTCTGTGTGATGGCACTCTGTGTGATGGCACTCTGTGTGAAGGCTCTCTGTGTGATGGCGCTCTGTGTGATGGCACTCTGTGGGAAGGCTCTCTGTGTGATGGCACTCTGTGTGATGGCACTCTGTGTGATGGCACTCTGTGTGAAGGCTCTCTGTGTGATGGCACTCTGTGTGATGGCACTCTGTGTGATGGCACTGTGTTAAGGCTCTCTGTGTGATGGCACTCTGTGAAGGCACTCTGTGTTATGGCACTCTGTACATGACAACACTGTGTGATGGCACTCTGTACATGACAACACTGTGTGAAGGCTCTCTGTGTTGTGGCACTCTGTGTGGTGGCACTCTGTGTGAAGGCACTCTGTGTGATGGCACTCTGTGTGATGGCACTGTGTGAAGGCACTCTGTGTGATGGCACTCTGTGTGATGGCACTCTGTATATGACAACACTCTTGTGTGATGGCACTCTGTATATGACAACACTATGTGTGATGTCACTCTGTATATGACAACACTCTGTGTGAAGGCACTCTGTGTTATTGGACTCTGTGATATGGCACTGTGTGTTATGGCATTCTGTGTGAAGGCGCTCTGTGTGATGGCACTGTGTATAAAAATGGCACTCTTTATGATGGCATTCTGTGTGGTTGCACTCTGGGTTATGGCACTCTGTGTTGTGGCACTCTGTGTGATGGCACTCTGTGTGAAGGCACTCTGTGTGGTGGTACTCTGTGTGGTGGCACTCTGTGTGAAGGCACTCTGTGTTATGGTACTCTGTGATATGGCACTGTGTGATGGCACTCTGTGTGGTGGCACTCTGTGTGAAGGCACTCTGTGTTATGGCACTCTCTGTGAAGGCACTCTGTGTGATGGCACTCTGTGTGATGGCGCTCTGTGTGATGGCACTCTGTGTGAAGGCTCTCTGTGATGGCGCTCTGTGTGATGGCGCTCTGTGTGACGGCACTCTGTGTGATGGCACTCTGTGTGAAGGCTCTCTGTGTGATGGCGCTCTGTGTGATGGCACTCTGTGGGAAGGCTCTCTGTGTGATGGCACTCTGTGTGATGGCACTCTGTGTGATGGCACTCTGTGTGAAGGCTCTCTGTGTGATGGCACTCTGTGTGATGGCACTCTGTGTGATGGCACTGTGTTAAGGCACTCTGTGTTATGGCACTCTGTACATGACAACACTGTGTGATGGCACTCTGTACATGACAACACTGTGTGAAGGCTCTCTGTGTTGTGGCACTCTGTGTGGTGGCACTCTGTGTGAAGGCACTCTGTGTGATGGCACTCTGTGTGATGGCACTCTGTGTGATGGCACTGTGTGAAGGCTCTCTGTGTGATGGCACTCTGTGTGATGGCACTCTGTGTGATGTCACTCTGTATATGACAACACTCTTGTGTGATGGCACTCTGTATATGACAACACTATGTGTGATGTCACTCTGTATATGACAACACTCTTGTGTGATGGCACTCTGTGTGATGGCACTCTGTGTGATGGCACTCTGTATATGACAACACTATGTGTGATGTCACGCTGTATATGACAACACTATGTGTGATGTCACTCTGTATATGACAACACTATGTGTGATGTCACTCTGTATATGACAACACTATGTGTGATGGCACTCTGTATATGACAACACTATGTGTGATGTCACTCTGTATATGACAACACTCTGTGTGATGTCACTCTGTATATGACAACACTATGTGTGATGTCACTCTGTATATGACAACACTATGTGTGATGTCACTCTGTATATGACAACACTCTTGTGTGATGGCACTCTGTGTGATGGCACTCTGTGTGATGGCACTCTGTATATGACAACACTATGTGTGATGTCACGCTGTATATGACAACACTATGTGTGATGTCACTCTGTATATGACAACACTATGTGTGATGGCACTCTGTATATGACAACACTATGTGTGATGTCACTCTGTATATGACAACACTCTGTGTGATGTCACGCTGTATATGACAACACTATGTGTGATGTCACTCTGTATATGACAACACTATGTGTGATGGCACTCTGTATATGACAACACTGTGTGTGATGTCACTCTGTATATGACAACACTGTGTGTGATGTCACTCTGTATATGACAACACTCTGTGTGATGGCACTCTGTATATGACAACACTATGTGTGATGTCACTCTGTATATAACAACTCTGTGTGATGGCACTCTGTATATGACAACACTCTGTGTGATGGCACTCTGTATATAACAACACTGTGTGATGGCACTCTGTATATGACAACACTATGTGTGATGGCACTCTGTATATGACAACACTGTGTGTGATGTCACTCTGTATATGACAACACTATGTGTGATGTCACTCTGTATATGACAACACTATGTGTGATGTCACTCTGTATATGACAACACTATGTGTGATGGCACTCTGTACATGACAACACTGTGTGATGTCACTCTGTATATGACAACACTATGTGTGATGTCACTCTGTATATAACAACTCTGTGTGATGGCACTCTGTATATGACAACACTCTGTGTGATGTCACTCTGTATATGACAACACTGAGTGATGGGACTCTGTATATGACAACACTGTGTGATGTCACTCTGTACATGACAACACTGTGTGATGGGAATGTGGGGGTTATCATGTCTGTGCAAGGGGGTATATTACACAGCTGAAATACTATTCAAAGTGTTGTAAGACCCAGCTCACTCACCCTATAGTGATTTTCTTTATTGCTTTAGAATGTCAGCTGGAGGACAAGAAGTACAGGGATGGAGCTGAGACCCAGGTCGACTGTAATGTGTGGTACGCATGAGCAGATCATATTTGTGGATTAACGATCAGGGGTCAGTCCTATCACAGCAGGCTGTGATGACACATCAATCTGGGTTACTTCCAGCCTTAGTTACTTCTCTTAGTCAAACACTCAGGTGCAACAATATTTTCTCAGGAAGAAATTTGTCAATCAGATTCTTACTCCGATACTCTATCTGTTTGGATATATGACTACTCTGTATGAAATTCTGAACTTTCTCATCAGAATCAAGGCTAAACAATTCTCAGTGCGAGTATTCTGAGCAGCATATTTGATATCTGTATCTAGAAAACAACCGAACATAAACAGCCATTTCGGAATCGAAATAATAAAGTCCAACCATTATATGGTTGTGCATATATCATACATCCTGATTGCCATGGCATCTTGACCCTTAAGGGACTACCATCAAAGGAATATTCGTCTTCTGTGTGGATGTTCTTTTTTTATAAATTGAAATTTCTGACTTAAGGTGGAAACAAAAGTGAAGCTAAATCTCTGCCATGTGATTGGTTCAATAATCCATGCATCCTTCATTTAGATTGGGTGGTGAACGTTTGCTCTGGGTTCAAAGGATATATGTTTGTTAAATGTTTTTTATTCTTCAATTCAGTGTTGAAATCAGTCTATTGAAAAGTTGTGAGGACTGGTATTTTTCAACATTTCCATCCGACAAAATCAGCTTACCTGATTTCTCAATGTTTTATACAGTCACTAAAATAAATCAATCCTATTTTTGTTCCTATGCTATTAGATGCATTAATACATCCAGACTTTCCAGGAGGTAGGGTTTTATCATCGCCGGCAATAGTAGTAAGCATGGTAAGTGCATCTAGTGCAGTGTCTAGGAAATCTCTATAAATGATTTTCAGTAATGATGACCTAGTAAATTAAATTCTGTCGATAAATTTCTGAAAAAGCAGGGGAAAACACAAGAATAAATGACAAAAGGTGTCACAAAACTCCAGACTGCAACATTTTCTGAAGTATGTGTTTTGGGTGGGTTGAGGGTATACCTCAAAACTTGTTTTATCCAACATCAAACTTTTGAACTGATTCCGAAGATGTTGTTTTATTGTGTTCCAGCGTGTGTGCATGCGGAGACTGGGTGTGTACAGGGGCGCCGTGTGGGAAGGACAAGAGAAACCAAGGGGTTCCAGGTAAGGACAGGTAAAAATAAGACCCGTGAAGACCCGGGTTAGAATAGGTCTTCAGCAACCCATGCTTGCTGTAAAAGGCGACTATGCTTGTGGTAAGAGGCGACTAATGGGATCAGGTGGTCAGGCTCAGTGACATGGTTGATGCATGTCATCGTATTGAATTGCATGGACCGATGCTTATCATGGCAATCAGTGGATTGTCTGGTTAAGACTCGATTATTTACAGACAGCCATTATATAGGTGGAATATTGCTGACTGTGCCATTAAACAACAAAAAAACACACACTTGGAGAACTATTTGATGCATGTGACTAACTTGTTTGGTTCAACATAGTGTGTGTAAATGTCTCTCGCTTTCATGACATTCCTTCAGTTCTGTCTTGTATTTATCAAAGTGAATGACTTCTCGTGATTTTTTATTAATGAAAAATAATGTTCCCTTGTGACAGATGAGACGGTTATCCAATCAAAACAAACAAACAAACAAGGTAAACGTTGTACGACACACGTGTGACAAACAAATTTAATATGTCACCACCTGTATCTTCACCATGTGGGTAATAATACGAAATACAATGTTAGCTGTTCATGTTGGATCTCCTGAAAAAATGTGTTTAAAAAAATTTATTGTTTGGCTGCTACTTTCACAGAAAAAGAATTGTATGTCTTGAAACTGTGATCACAAACATATTCTGTACCTAAGATAAATCGTGACATTTTTTCTTCCAATTTGGACATTTTTACTGAATATTGCCGCGGACTTGGGACTCCAGTTTTGATTGGTTCTCTCACTGAATGGTGGCACATGCATCATATGTCTGAAAGATTTTAGTAAGTTGGCTTACAGAATTGACTGATATAAATAAATCTGAAATTATGAATAAAATAAGATAACTTTTGACATTAAATTATCCTTAGGTGTTGTCCAAGGAATGAGTTTGCAATGAAATGTGTAGCTGTTTTGAGTCTGAAACTCATTTTGCAAACTGAAACCATTTATAGAATCAGCGATCTATTCCTCATCTTCCCATGGCAAGAGAGTTAACTGACTATAAAAGTCCAGTTACCACCCTTACCGAACTAGGCTGGAATTACTGGGCTCGATCGTAGCGCCACCAGTGGCTATTACCAGTTATGTCCCTTCTAAGCCTCTCCTATGGACCAATCAGATGCCACCTTTCGTATCACTTGCGTTTGCTTCACACAAAATGGTGGCTCCCAGTCAAAACGATCTGATCGATAATCAAGATCTATATTGTCATAAAACGGGTCTTACATGCGAAATGCATCAAATCACGTGAGCTCCTTGATTAAAAACATGAAAAGATTTGGAAAATATCTGCTGACAACGAGTTGGCAGTGCACATGCTATGCAAATCCTGCAATCGACCGAAATCTGCACGACAGATTACCAACCAGATTTCGATTTCGGTGCGCGAATTTGATAGGACTATGCATAGACTCGTAAGTCCAGCCAAAATGTAACTCCATAATACCAGCCTAGTTCAGCAAGGATAGAAACTGGACTTTTATAGTCAGTTAACTCTCTTGCCTTGGGAAGATGTCTATTCCTTGATAGTCACTATAGTTGACGATCCTGGACAGATAATGCTGAATCTAGTGTCAAACCATTAACTACAAACACTACCAATACTCAAGCTTTTTTTTGTTCAAAATACTCAGTTAATTGCGACGTTGAAGTTTTAGCTCAGCTGACCGAAAGGTCCATGCAATTTTAAAATGCAAAGTTAAAGTACCTCTAAAATTACGAAAACAAGAATCTACAAACTTCCCAAATTGAACAAAATATTTTGATCCCAATCTACAGAGATAAGTTCCAGTGTAAATATGGTCACATTATGTTGATTGTGGAGATATTGTGTGAGATGGCTCCCACCAGGCCATTATAGAAGGAGTTCCACTATTTAAATGACTCTATGTTAGATGTTGAGTAAATAGACACAGTATAACTAACACTGTCCGTTCAGGGCCAGTGCACAGTGGCCGTCTGCCCACACAGGAGCAGAGGGAGAGATTTCTGCGAGGGTTCAAGGCTGCCAAGGAGGTGTACGTCCGCGCTGTGCAGGATCAGGTAGCCAACAAGCAACACTCACGGGACATCGCCCAGCAGCTGGACGGCTTGAACAAGAAGGACACTCCACACTAGGTATGTCAGCCGTGCTATCTCGGAGCGGGTCTAGCCATGGACGTCAGCCTTCTTCTCAGGGAGGTTCTCACGTAGCCTTGCACGTCAGCGTTATTCTCAGAGAGGTTCTCCAGACAACCTTGTACATCAGACTTTATCTCAGAGAGGTTCTCAGGTAGCCTTGCACGTCAGCGTTATTCTCAGAGAGGTTCTCCAGACAACCTTGTACATCAGACTTTATCTCAGAGAGGTTCTCAGGTAGCCTTGCACGTCAGCGTTATTCTCAGAGAGGTTCTCCAGACAACCTTGTACATCAGACTTTATCTCAGAGAGGTTCTCAGGTAGCCTTGCACGTCAGCGTTATTCTCAGAGAGGTTCTCCAAACAACCTTGTACATCAGACTTTATCTCAGAGAGGTTCTCAGGTAGCCTTGCACGTCAGCGTTATTCTCAGAGAGGTTCTCCAGACAACCTTGTACATCAGTGTTTATCTCAGAGAGGTTCTCAGGTAGCTTTGTACGTTAGCCTTTATCTCATAGAAGTTCTCAGGTAGCCTTGTAAGTCAGCCTATATCTCAGTGAGGCTCACAGCTAGCCTTGTACGTCAGCGTTATTCTCAGTGAGGCTCACAGCTAGCCTTGTACGTCAGACTATATCTCAGTGAGGCTCACAGCTAGCCTTGTACATCAGCCTTTATCTCAGTGAGGCTCACAGCTAGCCTTGTACGTCAGACTATATCTCAGTGAGGCTCACAGCTAGCCTTGTAGGTCAGCGTTATTCTCAGAGAAGTTCTCAGCTAGCCTTGTACATCAGCCTATATCTCATAGAGGTCCTCAAGCTTTGTACATCAGCCTTTGATTTGATTGAAACATATTTTAATCAGATTGAAATGGATTGGGAACAAGTTATCCAACTTAGGACTCCCTCTCCATGGTATTTACAAAGCTTGTACAGTAAATCATATACAAGGAAAACAGAAAAGGATATGAGTGTAAAGATAACAAGAAATGTACAAGAGAGAGACTAGTATATGTACATTAAAGTGTTACCCAAATCTCTTTGTATGACTTATAAACATTTGCACTGCTTTAAAGATGTGTTGATTTTAGATAATGGACAAACATTCATTTCCGTTTAACATCAAACTTAAATCTAATTTAACATTTTTGTTCACAGCGTTCTGTAAAATGTCCCGAATTATTAATAACATAGTTTTTCTTTGGTGGACATACATTCGGCACTCTAATAAATAATTATGTGCGTTTTCACATGGATTACCACATTGACATATTGTATCACATTTTATCTCTATTCTGTATAAATCATTATTTAACTGGCTCTTCATGTATCTTAATCAAGTATGATAAATATTCAACTTTCTAACACCATAGGAAAAACATGGAGGTGCAATAACTTGCTCTTTTTGTATGTATGTCTTGAATTGGGATGAAGATGTACAATTTCATCAGCCTTTATCTAAGAGAGGTTCTCAGCTAGCCTTGTATGTCAGACTATATCTCATACACCCCACTCAGACACAGTATACTGACTCCAAGCCGACCAGTTTAACATGGACACCCCACTCAGACACAGTATACTGACTCCAAGCCGACCAGTTTAACATGGACACCCCACTCAGACACAGTATACTGACTCCAAGCCAACCAGTTTAACATGGACACCCCACTCAGACACAGTATACCGACTCCAAGCCAACCAGTATAACATGGACACCCCACTCAGACACAGTATACCGACTCCAAGCCAACCAGTTTAACATGGACACCCCACTCAGACACAGTATACCGACTCCAAGCCAACCAGTTTAACATGGACACCCCACTCAGACACAGTATACCGACTCCAAGCTGACCAGTTTAACATGGACACCCCACTCAGACACAGTATACCGACTACAAGTCAACCAGTTTAACATGGACACCCCACTCAGACACAGTATACCGACTCCAAGCCAACCAGTTTAACATGGACACCCCACTCAGACACAGTATACCGACTCCAAGCCAACCAGTTTAACATGGACACCCCACTCAGACACAGTATACCGACTCCAATCCGACCAGTTTAACATGGACACCCCACTCAGACACAGTATACCGACTCCAAGCTGACCAGTTTAACATGGACACCCCACTCAGACACAGTATACTGACTCCAAGCCAACCAGTTTAACATGGACACCCCACTCAGACACAGTATACCGACTCCAAGCCAACCAGTTTAACATGGACACCCCACTCAGACACAGTATACTGACTCCAAGCCAACTAGTCCTGGTCTTATCCTTAATGCTGAACACCAGGCAGGGTAACAACAAGTACTTTTAATGTCTTAGGATATGACATGGGTGGGGGTTGAACGGCCAACGTTCCACTCACTGGGCAGGCACTCTATCCACTAGACCAGGGAGGCGGTATGTGCGTATAGTAAAGCTCATCTCCATCTCTGTTTACAGGGGCTGGATGAACCGCTGACAATCTGGCCACAATCCGGATGCCGGATATTACGACATCAGCAATTTCCATCTGAAACCAGAGGCTGAACATACCACCAATATTTACCAGGTTAATCACAGTTACTCGTTGATATAAGTTATAACAACATGTACCTCGGAATCATTACGATTCTGTACTAGGTCAACTTTCACTCATCTCCAGCATGTACATGTTTCAGTGGTTTGTATATTTGGATGTTTATGCTGATGACTTGTTCTTCGATGTTGTTTAATTATCATTGTTAACTGTTGTTTACTGTCCATTTGGTATGTGAAATGTGACACTTTATTCATCTTATTTCATGATGACCTTGTTTAAAGTTACAAAAGCTATAAATCTGTGTTACATATTTGTGACAAGCCCACAATATTAACGGGAAGGAATAGTTTGAATTTGAATTTTGCATTCCATTATAAACTTTAAATCTTGCAAATATAAAATACATACATGATTGATCTCTGTAGGTTTCTGAGTCCCGTGACGGGTGTCAAACCATGGACCTTCTTATCCATGGTGGGATGCTTTGTGCGCATGACCAAAGATGTTTACTTATCAGCTAGTCTGTCTCCCAGACCCTAGAGAATAAATATAAAAAGTCCAACTCATGTCCAGAATGATTTGGCAAGTCTAGAAATCAAGGATTGTTTGGGCTCCATGTGGATTTTATTTTTTAAGATGTCATCCGTGTGATGACTCCATGCCTGCTGCATACATAATGATTTAAAGTTTTAAGTTTATCTCTGAATGTTTCTCACTTTCTAGAGATCACAGACACTGCTTATTATTCTTATTCGTCTGTTAACATGGTTAACAGATCGTTAGGCAGGTAATTTCAACTGTAGGTCAGTGCACAATTACTGCACAACTGCAAATAATCATTTGTTATTACAGGAAGTTGTCATATGAAAAAAGGAATTCCAGAATGCATGTTTGTGTCATGTGATACTTAAGGTCTGGAAGCCTTAGGTATAGTGCTTGATGACAACCTCTTAATTAATACACAGGGTAGTTATTCTGCTAAATATCAGGTGCCTATATCATATATATTGGCCCATGACAATAGATGTTTTATATCCTGCATGTGTAATGTGTATATTCATGTGGTGCATATATATGTGTACCATCTTATTTATTCTTCAATTTTACAAGTATTCTATTCAGATCTGATTCTATGTAGTTTTATTTACTACCCAAACACTTACAAAATTGTAAATAAATAGTTTTTACTATTTTGCTTAATTCTGTTGTCAAGTTCATGTGTTCAGGGATAGGAATTTTCTATGCTCAGACATCATTGATTACTTGTTTGTCAGAATTACTGGGGTAGGTTAGTTGTTAAAGGGTTCACTTGTCATGCGGCAAACCCGGGTTCGATGCCCCACATGGGTACAATGTGTGAAACCCATTCTGGTGTCCCTTGATGTAATATTGCTGGAATATTGCTAAAAACGGCGTAAAACTATGCTCACTCACTCACTCACTCACTCACTCACTCACTCAGAACTACTGTCAGGACTGAAGACTCGGGGGCAGAAACAAAATGGCAGTAAGAGTGCAGTTTGTGTTTCTGCTGGCTCGAGGTGGCCTACTTCTTATTATATGAATTCATATTTCATATTTCACATCTTATTCATATTTATTAACTTGGTTCACGGATTGCAGAAATATGGAAATTAGTATTTCAAAAATTGTTTTATTTTCTGCCAATTCTGCCGATTTCTTAAAGGAAAAAGTGAACATAAACATGATTTTCAAAAATGAGACATTACTTTCACAAAGGTTTGAATTAATTGAAAACAGTAAGTTTTCTTCCTGTTGAATTTCAGTAATGTAAAACCCTCTAGATTTGATAAAAATGGTTAGAACTTTACTGTTGTTCATACAAAATAACCAACCAAGCAGCATCTTTTTTGTTTTAGATGATTTTATGAGAGATAAACTGCAATGTTTTTGCAAGTTTATTTTATTCTCATTTTGACCAGTATTCCCACAAGTTACATTTTACTTTTGCAAGATTTGTAAGCCGATTGATCAAACAAAAAGTTGGCAAAAATATTGCAAAAATGGCCCCCAGAATATTCTGAACAAGTAATTGAGATAGCTTGGGTTGAAACAACTTTAAAACACATGTGAATGTAGCAGTTCTGTTTGTCGAGATATTTGTTTTAATTTGGTTACATTTTAACAAAATGCATGTGTTCTTATAGTCATATTTAATTCCATTGTATGCTAAAGCTTGATGTATTTACAATTTTTCCAAATAAAAGTAGTTGATAAAATTGTATCCTGGTCTTCTGTGAAGCTCCTATTTCAGATGCGGAGAAGTCTAGAACGTTCATCTTGGAATTTATGCATGTTGACATAACACATAATCTTTCTGATACAAACTATTCTGTGGTTTTAACCACTAGTCTAAAGCTTGTAAAAGTATGTTCAATCTAGTCGCCTCAGGTGATGGCCTACGTACTGGCATTATGAGGTGAGGTGAAATAGGGTTTAACGTCCCGTCCAAGATTATTGCACTTATATAGCGACGTGCATGCACGTGTATGTGTGTGTGTGTGGCTGCTTGTACTAGTCCGGACTGATGCCGATTTATAGTGCTAGCTCACTGAGATACCATGCCGCAGTTTAACATGAATACCCCACTCAGACACAGTATACTGACTCCGAGCCGACCAGTCCTTGTTTTAGCCCCTTAATGCCGAGCGCCAGACAGGGTAACAACAAGTACAATCTTTTAACGTCTTTTTGTATCACGCGGCCCGGGATCGAACCCTGGACCTTCCGCTCTCCGGGCGGACGCTCTACCACAAGACCACGGAGGCGGTCACTGGCATTATGAACTACTGGAGTGGTGGCAAGAGACAAGTTAGGGACAGATGACTCAAATGTCTTTGGCACAATCAACTGAGTGGATGAGTCATAATCAACTATTAGTGTTGGTTTGTTTGTTTGTTGTTTATGGTCACTCAGCAATATTCCAGCTATATGACGGCGGTCTGTAAATAATCGAGTCTGGACCAGACAATCCAGTGATTGACAATATGAGCATCTATCCACACAATTGGGATATGAAGACATGCATCAACCAAGTCAGCGAGTCTGACCACCCGATCCCATGAGTCGCTTCTCACGACAAGCATAGTCGCCTTTTACGGCAAACATGGGTTGCTGAAGACCTATTCTACCCCGGATCTTCACGGGTCAACTATTAGTGATTGTGTGAGTGAGTGAGTGACATTCAACTGATATGGTGAGTGAGTAGTTAAAATATCATGGCAGGTTCACCAGAAATAGGCTTCACTTATTGTACCCTTGTGTGGAATCAAACCTGGGCCTGTGACATCAAAGGTGAACACTTTAACCACTGGGCTACCCCACCGCCCTTCATTCGTTAGTGTTGAATCAGAGGTAACTCCTGTCAAGGGGAGCCTGGGCAAGACTGGTGTGTTGTAACCTATCTATATCTATAATTAGCTGAGGGAGGTGAAATAGGGTCTAACCTAGCGTTCAAGATTGTTGCACTTGTCCAGAGATGTGCGGCCATGTGTGTGTGGCTGCTTGTACTTGTCCGGACGTACGCTGGTTTCATAGTGCTAGCCCACTGAGATACCATGCCGCAGTTTAACATGAATACCCCATCAAACACTGTACATTGCCTCCAAGCTGACCAGTAAATGGTTTATCCCCTTAATACCAAGTGCCAGACAGGGTGAAAAGTCAGCTGGGAATCGATCTCATGATGTCAGTCACTGGATTGTTTGGTCCACATTCGATTACTGCCATCATATAGCTGGAATATTGCTGAGTGCAGCGTTAAATAACAAACAAACAATGGTCAGGTCAATCACTGGATTGTCTGGTTTCAGACATGGTTATGTACAGACCACTGCCATATGGCTGGAATATTGCTGAGTGCGTTGTTAACAAACACACAATCAACAGACACTTACTCCACAATAGTCCAGCTATATGACAGCGGCCTTGACATCATGAACATTGATCTACATAATGAATGTGATGTCAGTGGGTCTGACCACCCAATCCCAGAAGTCAACTCTAACAAAAAGCAGGGGTTGCTGAAAGACCAATTCAAATCCAAATCTTCATCAGGGCAATCTGTTATGTCAGGTGAGGTTTTAATGTGTCTAATGAGTGAGTGATGGTGTAATGAGTAAGTGAGTCTAATGAGTGAGTGAGTCTAATGAGTGAGAGAGTCTAATGAGTGAGTGATGGTCTAATGAGTAAGTGAGTCTAATAAGTGAGTGAGTGAGTCTAATGAGTGAGTGATGGTCTAATGAGTGAGTGAGTCTAATAAGTGAGTGAGTGAGTCTAATGAGTGAGTGATGGTCTAATGAGTGAGTCTAATGAGTAAGTGAGTCTAATGAGTGAGTGAGTCTAATGAGTGAGTGATGGTCTAATGAGTAAGTGAGTCTAATAAGTGAGTGAGTGAGTCTAATGAGTGAGTGATGGTCTAATGAGTGAGTGAGTCTAATAAGTGAGTGAGTGAGTCTAATGAGTGAGTGATGGTCTAATGAGTGAGTCTAATGAGTAAGTGAGTCTAATGAGTGAGTGAGTCTAATGAGTGAGTGATGGTCTAATGAGTAAGTGAGTCTAATAAGTGAGTGAGTGAGTCTAATGAGTGAGTGAGTCTAATGAGTGAGTCTAATGAGTAAGTGAGTCTAATGAGTGAGTGTGAGTCTAATGAGTGAGTCTAATGAGTGAGTGAGTCTAATGAGTGAGTGATGGTCTAATGAGTGAGTCAGTCTAATGAGTGAGTGAGTCTAATGAGTAAGTGAGTCTAATGAGTGAGTCTAATGAGTGAGTCTAATGAGTGAGTCTAATGAGTGAACGAGTCTAATGAGTGAGTCTAATTAGTAACTGAGTCTAATGAGTGAGTGAGTGAGTCTAATGAGTGAGTCTAATGAGTGAGTCTAGTGAGTGAGTGAGTCTAATGAGTGAGTGAGTCTAATGAGTGAGTGATGGTCTAATGAGTGAGTGAGTCTAATGAGTGAGTGTAATGAGTGAGTCTAATGAGTCTAGTGAGTGAGTGAGTCTAATGAGGGAGTGATGATCTTAACGAGTGAGTCTAATGAGTGAGAGTATCATAAGTGAGCGAGTCTAATGAGCAAGTGAGTCTAATGAGTGTGTGAGTCTAATGAATGAGTCTAGTGAATCTAATGAGTGTAATGAGTGAGTGAGTCTAGTAAGTCAATTGAGTCTAATTAGTAAGTGAGTCTAGTGAGTGAGTGATTGAGTCTGATGATTGATTGAGTGTAATGAGTGAGTCTAATGAGTAAGTCTAATGAGTGAGTAAGTGAGTCTAATGAGTGAGTGAGTCTAATAAGTGAGTGAGTCTAATGAGTGAGTGAGTCTAATGAGTGAGTGAGTCTAATGACAAAGCGAGTCCAATGAGTAAGTGAGTCTAATGAGTGAGCGAGTCTAATGAGTGAGTGAGTCTACTGACTGAGTGAGTCTAATGGGTGAGTCTAATGAGTGAGTCTAATGAGTGAGTGAGTCTAATGAGTGAGTGAGTCAAATGAGTGAGTGAGTCTAATGAGTGAGTGAGTCTAATGAGTGATGGTCTAATGAGTGAGTGAGTCTAATGAGTGAGTCTAATGAATTTGTCTAATGAGTGAGTGAGTCTAATGAATGAGTCTAATGAGTGAGTGAAGGTCTAATGAGTGAGTGATGGTCTAATGAGTGAGTCTAATGAGTGAGTCCAATGAGTGAGTGAGTCTAATGATTGAGTGAGTCCAATGAGTGAGTGAGTCCAATGAGTGAGTGAGTCTAATGAATGAGTGAGTCTTATGAGTGAGACCAATGAGTGAGTGAGTCTAATGATTGAGTGAGTCCAATGAGTGAGTGAGTCCAATGAGTGAGTGAGTCCAATGAGTGAGTGAGTCTAATGAGTGAGTCTAAGGAGTGAGTGATGGTCTAATGCGTGAGTGAGTCTAATGAGTGAGTGATGGTCTAATGTGTGAGTCTAATGAGTGAACGAGTCTAATGAGTGAGTCTAATTAGTAACTGAGTCTAATGAGTGAGTGAGTGAGTCTAATGAGTGAGTCTAATGAGTGAGTCTAGTGAGTGAGTGAGTCTAATGAGTGAGTGAGTCTAATGAGTGAGTGAGTCTAATAAGTGAGTGATGGTCTAATGAGTGAGTGAGTCTAATGAGTGAGTGAGTGTAATGAGTGAGTGAGTCTAATGAGTGAGTGTAATGAGTGAATCTAATGAGTCTAGTGAGTGAGTGAGTCTAATGAGGGAGTGATGGTCTTAACGAGTGAGTCTAATGAGTGAGAGTATAATGAGTGAGCGAGTCTAATGAGCAAGTGAGTCTAATGAGTGTGTGAGTCTAATGAATGAGTCTAGTGAATCTAATGAGTGTAATGAGTGAGTGAGTCTAGAAAGTCAATTGAGTCTAATTAGTAAGTGAGTCTAGTGAGTGAGTGATTGAGTCTGATGATTGATTGAGTGTAATGAGTGAGTCTAATGAGTAAGTCTAATGAGTGAGTAAGTGAGTCTAATGAGTGAGTGAGTCTAATAAGTGAGTGAGTCTAATGAGTGAGTGAGTCTAATGAGTGAGTGAGTCTAATGACAAAGTGAGTCCAATGAGTAAGTGAGTCTAATGAGTGAGCGAGTCTAATGAGTGAGTGTGTCTACTGACTGAGTGAGTCTAATGAGTAAGTGAGTCTAATGAGTAAGTGAGTCTAATGAGTGAGTGAGTCTAATGAGTGAGTGAGTCAAATGAGTGAGTGAGTCTAATGAGTGAGTGAGTCTAATGAGTGGTCTAATGAGTGAGTGAGTCTAATGAGTGAGTCTAATGAATTTGTCTAATGAGTGAGTGAGTCTAATGAATGAGTCTAATGAGTGAGTGAAGGTCTAATGAGTGAGTGATGGTCTAATGAGTGAGTCTAATGAGTGAGTGAGTCCAATGAGTGAGTGAGTCTAATGATTGAGTGAGTCCAATGAGTGAGTGAGTCCAATGAGTGAGTGAGTCCAATGAGTGAGTGAGTCTAATGAGTGAGTCTAAGGAGTGAGTGATGGTCTAATGCGTGAGTGAGTCTAATGAGTGAGTGATGGTCTAATGCGTGAGTGAGTCTAATGAGTGAGTGAGTCTAATGAGTGAGTGAGTCTAATGAGTGAGTGAGTGAGTCTAATGAGTGAGTGAGTCTAATGAGTGAGTGTAATGAGTGAGTCTAATGAGTCTAGTGAGTGAGTGAGTCTAATGAGGGAGTGATGATCTTAACGAGTGAGTCTAATGAGTGAGAGTATCATA